GACGAGAATGACGTTCGAGTGCTGACTATTTTGGCATCGGTCTATCTCGATTCTCATATTTCGAGCCGTAGACTGGAGGTATCCACAGGAATACCGAAGTCCACAATCTTGAGGATTTTGAAGACTCGGAAGTACCATGCTTATCATATCACTTTGACCCAAACATTATTACCTGCCGATTTTGATCGACGCCTCGACTTCTGCCGGTGGGCCTTACAGCAGATCGATCGGGCCCTAATTTTTTTAGATTTGTGATGTTTTCCGATGAAGCGACGTTCAAGAACACAGGGGAGTTGAACCGGCATAATTGCCATTATTGGTCCGATACCAATCCGCACTGGCATAGAGCGATTGACAATCAACACCGCTGGAGCCTCAATGTCTGGTGCGGGATTGTTAATGGATACTTGGTCGGTCCATTCTTTTTCGAACGTACTGTGAATGCAAATACGTACCTCGATTTGCTCACAGACCAATTGCCTCATTTGTTGGAGAACGTAGACTTGGAAACCAGGCGAAGGATGTTCTTCCAACAGGATGGTGCACCACCGCACTTTGCACGTATAGTCAGGAGGTTTTTAGATGAAAGGTACCCGAACCGATGGATTGGTTGAGAGGGTCCGATTGCATGGCCTCCTCGTTCTCCTGATTTGACGTCACTCGATTTTTATCTCTGGGGCTATTTGAAAGAAGTTGTTTTCAAAGAAGAACCAACAACAAGAGAAGATATGGAAAATCGCATAAGACGAGCTTGTGAAGCGATTCCACGAAATGTCTTGCTCAGCACAGTGGCCCATTTCCAAAGAAGGCTCAATTATTGCATAAATGCTAACGGTGCAACTTTCGAAAACCTTTTGAATAGCTAGATTAACAATAGCAAAGTATGCATAGTGAGAGGCAAGGGGACTCACTCTAAACAAGCACCCCGAAAGAGGCAGAATTCTACCACGTTCACGTCGTTGTCTCTGAGTAATGCTAAGTGTAGAAGATAATTTAGAAATCCCCGTATACAGATACGATTTTCACATGAATACACGTACAAGTTCCTTTTGACTTTGAAATGACCTCAAAACATGACATTTGATCTTATCGATCATACCATATCCTATTCTAAAATTTCCCGCTCTTTCCAAATCCGGGGTCGAAAATAGGCAATTCCATTTAAAAAATGTTATTTGACCTTCAAATAACCCCTAAGGTCAAAGTCAAGGTCAAATTCAAGGATATGGTCATACGTCCCCCTCCTTGTCCAACAACTTTTGTATGAAACTTTTTTCATTATTTCGCTCACCGGTCGAGTTATTCTCCATTAAAGGTTAAAATGGTCTACCCTGTATATATTGGGTGAGTGCAAAAGTTCGTGCGGAGTTTCAATAGATGGATTTATAAGCGTCGTAAAGTGTTGTCATTAATACTTCCATCTACATATTATATAACGTTGGAAAGGTGACGTCTTCAGCTGTTATTAAAAAAAAAATCATTTGTTTTCATACAAACTGCTTCGAGAAATATCACTTTAAAAATGAGTATTGATAAGGTGCATTTACGGCATGTTATGCTTTACGAGTTTCGGAAGGGAATAAACGTTGCCGCAGCCGTAAAAAACATTCAGGATGTTTATCAGGATGAAGCACCAGCTAAACGAACTGTGGAAAAATGGTTTGCTAAATTTCGGCACGGAGAATTTAACCTTGAAGACGAGCCACGCTCTGGTCGACCTTCTGACATTGATGACGATGTTTTGCGTACTTTAGTGCTCAATAATCCGCGAATTTCAACAGAAGAAGTTGCTACAGCACTAAACGTTGACCGATCAACCGCTTTTCGTCGTTTAAAAAAGATGGGATTCGATTTGAAGCTCGATATATGGGTGCCCCATTTGCTGACCGAGAAGAACAAAATCAAGCGAATTTCTGCAGCCGTTTCTTTACTCGGGCGGCTCAATAACGAGTCGTTTTTGGATCGACTAGTGATGGGCGATGAGAAATGGGTCCTCTACAACGATGTTCAGCGCAAACGGACATGGAAACAATCAGGTGAGCATGGTGACGCAATGCCAAAGGTCAGTTTGCACCCGATGAAGGTGATGCTCTCTGTTTGGTGGGATTACAAGGGCATAATCTATTTCGAGCTTCTCCCCGCTGGCGAAACGATTGATTCGGACAAGTACTGTCGCCAATTAACCAATCTGAATCGAGAAATAAAAGAGAAACGTCCGATTTTGTCAAATCGCAAGGGAGTCGTCTTTCATCACGACAACGCCAGATCACACGTTTCGAAAAAGACGCTGCGCAAACTGAAGAGCCTGAAATGGGATGTCTTAACGCATCCACCGATATTCTCCTGATATCGCACCATCTGTTCCGGTCACTTGTTCCGGTCATTGCAAAATTATTTAAATGGAAAAAACTTTGACTCTTTGGAGGCCTTAAAAAACGGCGTCTCTTCGTTCTTCGAATCTAAACCGCGCAGTTTTTATGATCGAGGCATCCGTATGCTGCCAGATCGTTGGGAAAAGATTATAGAAAACGATGGAGAATATATCATTGATTGAATAAAGATTTTTGTTTGCCTAATCACTGTGTGACTTTTACTCACAAACTCCGCACGAACTTTTGCACTCACCCAATACAATAATATCTGTCTTATTATATAAAAAATAACAAGAATAAATTAATTTTTTTAATAACAAGAATAAATTTAATTATTTATTATAAAATTGAATTTTATGAGTTTATAATATTATACATAATATTATAAAAAAAAATTGGCATTGTAAGGACTCGAACCTTCCTCGAACGTAGACGACAAGATACTAGCGCACGCCTTAGCCGTCGCGGATACCGCGCTTCACGCTTATTAGTTCCAAATTACTATATTTAATATGCAGCTATTTTTTTAATTGCAAATTTCTCGCAAACCAAGATCCATGCACGCAAATTCTTTTAGGGTTTTTATGTACTCAATCCACCCATTCAAATGAAATATGACTTATTCAATTATCGATTTTACATGTCTTATCATCTCCTTGTTAGATTGAATGAAAATAAGAATATATTTGGCTAAATGCTGGTGTACACTGTGTGTATACAGAATAAGCATGTGACTTATTGCTGCTAATTTCATAGGCTTTTCTTTAACATTTTATGCAACCGCTCGCTACTTCGACTCTCTCTTTCTCTACTGTTACATTCCGCTCCCTCCTTACTCTCCTCGACCTATCCATCTGATGCCCTCTATCGGCAATAAATGCTCAGACAAATGTTAATCCTAGCGTGCATAAAGCCCGTATCAGATTATGAATTGGGATTGAGATTGGATTGAAATTTGACTAATTGGAAAAGAGAAAATAATCTCAAATATGGTAAATTACACCTTGATTGATTAAATTTTAATCCAATATTCAATCCCAATTCGTAGTCTGATACAGGCTTTAGACAATGTAATAAATGGGGACGTAATAGAATTACAACATAAGAGAAATACACTACATACAGATAGAACCTCTGCTCATAATTCCTACATTGATTATAAGTTAAAACTATTAATTATATGTGCAAGGTAAGAAAAAAAATATGATAATCAATAAATCATATAATAATATGATAAAAAATAAATCATTAGCGGGACTCGAACTCTCGTTGCCGGTGCAAAAAGTGCCGGACTGGAGACTTAGTCCTCTCAATTACGTCGCCTCAGTGCCGTCTGTATACTTTCTGTTCTTGAACGATTCAGCTCTGTCAGCCTAACTTTGCTCTCGCAATTTCTCCTAAACGAAGGCCCATTTACCTGAATCTCTTTCAAAACTTTATTCTCTCCATACAAGCTATCGGACGAAATATGACTCGTTTGGAAATGGATTTTACAGATTGTATCTCTTTGTCAGTATAATACATCTCAAACATACATTACATCTCGAATGTACATTAAAAAATGTTAAATAATACGTATAAACGGGGAAGGGGCTTCGCCTTTTCCCCGCACTCAAGAAAATACTGATCTAACCTAACCTAATTTATTGCATCTTTATATCTTGTTGAGCGTGCGTTTTAGAAGTTTTAATCTTCAACAATGCTCAACAATATACAGGATATCCCAAAACTGTCGAATTTCCTCTTAGGAGGTGAAAGGAGATGCAATTTGGAATCAAAAGTTCCTCTACCACTTTTGGATCATAGCATTAGTTTATGAGTTATTAACTGATGAATCTGATCAGATTATTCGGTGGGCGAGCACACAGTGGAGTAAAATTCAAGTTTTAATTTTAATCTATTGAACTGAAAATTTTCAAATTCAGAAAGGAAAAAGGAAAAAGAAGGATGGCTGCAGAGGGGGAGGAGAGGGGGCAGGAGGAGGAGGGAAAAGATAAAAGGGGTGACATAAATATGTGTTCGAAAGATGCCTGTTTAGCAGCGGACGGTGGACATTTCGAATAAAAAGAGATGAATTTCTACGTCGGTGGAAAAATCGGTCACCATAAATACACAATAAAATAATAAAAAATAAAATAATAATAATAATAAAATACATAATACGTGGAAGACTGTTTTTCGTTTTCTGTGTCTCAATAGATCTTATAGGAAATCCGGCAATTATAGGACACCTTGTATAAAGATGCGATAAGTTAGATTAGGTTAGGATTTTCTTGGGAAGGGGGTACGGAAAAGGGATTTCCCCCATATGTACTATGTTCCAAAGTAACTTCCTGCAAGTTTTAGGTGTTAAATATACGCTGTGTCGAAAAATTACATTCGATTAATAAAACTTCTTTTGTTAATAACTTTAACAAATGACAAACGACGATTAAAATCTCTTGAATATTATTCAAGTTGTCCTTTATAATATATGTCAAGGTTAAGGTCATTGGAGGAGAATTTGTTAAAGTAAATATTTACCAAAAAATTTTTAGCATATATTTCTCGTGCTTCTGACATCATCAATTATGTGTTCCACAGCTAAAGATCAACAGCTTTAATCATAATTCGCTTATTCATACTTACTTAGAAGAATGCGAGTCGTTCTGTTTCATGGTGAATTCTTTGGCGTGCACGTTTAGTCGGAGGGTAGAAGCGTTTGCCGTGGTACCATCCGCTCTACCACCTAAGGATAAATATAAAATTAAACAACAACGTCCATATATAATGACACATTAAAGATTTGCAAAATATATCTCATTTAAGGGACAAAATACAAACCTGGGGGGCGATATATCTCTAAGGACGGTTTGGACTTGGGACTGACTACGTTATTATTTCCTTTCCGTAACACTGCATCCCTCATCTAAAAATTGGAAATACCATAGAAAATGAATGAGTCCATTTGCTAAAAACAAAGAAGGAGGAGAGAGGAAGAGGGAGAAGGAAAAATAGAAGAGAAAGCAAATGAAGAAGATGAGAGAGAAGAAGAGGGGGAGGAAAAGGAAATATGAGAAGAAATGACGAAATGCAAAGATAACGAGATACGATAAGAATGGGAAGGGAAAAGTTGAGAAGTTGGAGAAGAAAAGTGAGAGTGAGAGAGAGAGAGAGAGAGAGAGAGAGAGAGAGAGAGAGAGGAGGTAAGGCGAAAGAAAAATTGTCCTCAGCTGTTAAATCATGTTGCAGTATTATAGACACATAATTAAAATCTCATCTCGCGCCGGCGCGAAATATATATTCCTATATCGCGCCGGCAACAGTTGCTGGACCGATCAATCGTTATAGCATAATGGGCTATAATCCTCCAATACTATCTCGGCGTGCTCATTCCTTAGATTTCTATAATTAATGACTCGATGGTTATTGCGAATATCGCAAAACGGTATGAGACTTTTATATTTATCTTAATCCGTTCTATGTTTTCACGAATTCCTTGTGTAAGTCATAGGACCTTGTTAAGGTGCATATGCGCGCGCGCGCGTGTATTACGCGTATGCATGTGCGTGTGCGTGCGTGCGTGCGTGCGTGCGTGCATGTGCGTGCGCGCGTGTGTGTGTGTATAAGTTATTATAAGAATTTTACATTATTGATAATTATATACAGGGTGTCCCAAAAGTAACGGATCATCCTAATAACTGTTCAGTATTGATATTTCAAGGAAAATAATTTGAATAAAAGTTGTAGGTATTTAAGTGAGCTACCTTATGATGACCTTGACTTTGACCTCGATCTCTATTTTCAAGGTCATTTGAAAGTCAACTTGCGTTTTATAAATAGGAACCCTTATTTTTTATTACACTTTTTTTTCTACTAGTTAATTTGAACAATTTTTGTCTAAAACATTTTTTTATTTGTCTAATATTTTTTTAGATATTTGAGGAAAACTTGATAAATTTTTCAATATTTAACTTACGATATCTCGCTAACTATTTGTCGGAAGAAAAAGTGGTACTAGACTTTCTTGCTTTATTCAGTCTCAAAAATATATTGTTGTAATAGCGCCCTGATGTTTGTTAATTTGATGATTTTGAAATTTCCAAAAGTCAGTAAGTTAATAAAAGTCAAGGTGCTATTGTAACAATATGAGACTAAATTGAGACTAAATAAAGCAAGAAAGTCTAATATCACTTTTTTTCCGACAAATAGGTAGCGAGATATCGTAAATTAAATATAGAAAAAGTTATCAAGTTTTCCTCAAATATCTAAAAAAATATTAGACAAATAAAAAATGTTTTAGGCAAAAGTTATTCAAATTAACCAGTAGAAGAAAACAGTGTAATAAGAAATAAGGGTTCCCATTTAAAATACGCAAGTCGACCTTCAAATGACCTTGAAAGAGAGGTCAAAGTCTAAATCGAAATCACCATAAGGTAGCTCACTTAAATCCCTACAACTTTTATTCAAATCATTTTCCTTGAAACTTCAATACTGAAGAGTTTTTTGAGATGGGACATTAAAATGGGACACCCTGTGCATTTTTAATTTTTTGCAGAAATGTAAAATGCACCAACAATCTCATTATGAATCAAAACCTTTTAGTTTTTTCAGTAACAAAATTAAATAATTAGATAAGTAACAAAAACTGATAGCAGCAAAAAATGTTGGACAATAATGAAAATATATTTTGATAATTAAAAGATTATAATAATTTTTTTATAAATGTTTAATGTTCATACAAAGTTGTAAATTAATTTACATATCTAATAATAATTTTTCTATAAATATTTAATGTTCATATAAAATTGCGAGTTAATTTATATACATATCTAATATATTCTTATATCGTTCAAAAGACATTCTAATAATATATTCGCTAGTAAATGTTAGAGAATGTAATAATAATTAAAATATGACGGATATTGATATAATGTATATTAGTAAATCAGCAACATAAGAATGTTAGACGCATGTATACACACCACACAAATACATAATCATATTTATTTGCATTATTTGCATAATGATTTTGAAATATTAATATAACATTTCTAAAATTATATTGCGAATTCATGTATTTACGATATATTTGTAGCATTATATTTATAAATTATAAACATTAAATTACTCAAGTTTATTATAATATACAATATTAAAATGTTGCTGCAATGCTGCAAACTTCTATGCTGCATGGGATAACATCACTTATATTAGTAAAAATTAATATTAACCTTACAGACTTGGCTGCTACTTATGCATATGTAAAACGTGAAAATGATGATTCATTGAATGAAGAACGCAGAAATGAGTGGACGAGCCAATAATATTTTGCTTCAATTTTATCAACGTATATTGATGATGAACAATTTATTAAATATATTAAGTACATATAAACATATATATATATATATATATATATATATATATAATGTATAAAATATAATATATATATATATAATATATATCATATTACAAAATTATTTCATCATTTAATTATCAATCGTAATAATTAAATAATAAAGTAATTTTATAATACAATCTATAATACGTAATATTTCAATTTTAATAAAACTTATTAGTTAAAAGCAATCACATTTTATTCCTTAACAATACAAGGAAGGACAAGCAACAGATTTTGAAAATAATTTTTGAGTATTATTTAATGTTTTATAAAATCAACTTGAAAATGAATAGGACAATGACATTAAGTAAGATAATAAGATATCTATTTGTTGTAAATAATTTCTAATGACTTTATATTTAATTTACTCAAGAAAGTATTCTTTATTCTTATTATATATAATATAATTCTTATTTGTTAATGTAATCCCACGATTATTAAAAGCAGTTCGAAAATAGTTTCTCTTTTTAAATCTTTCTTCGCATTCTCTCTTCGTATTGTTTATCATGTATATATTGTTGACGTGTATTATCATAACATATAGAAGAATATATATTACATTCAATTAAATGTTACTTGTTCTGAATATTTCTTAAATTTATATTTCCACAAATCTATTGTAAGTTTATTATAAACATTAAATTACTCAAAATATATTCCAATCCCTAATGAGTTCAATCAAGAATATTAAATTAAAATATTAAATTATATTAAAAGTTATATTAAATATTTAATATTAAATATTAAATTAAATCAGATATTAAATTAATTCGGAGATTAAATTATAAGATATTAAATAATAAGATATTAAATATTAAATTAAGTCAGAAATTCTGTTTATTCCCCATGTAGAATATAAGTTTTATAATATTCTTGAAAAGAAAATAATTCTTTTTAGTACATAATTTTAGTACATAATAATGTACCTCTTTTAAAATTTAAGATAAATATATTTTAACACTATTATCAAAAAGATATTCTTCAATGAAGACAAACATTACTTGAAAGAAAGAAAGTACATCGAATAATCGCTTTTCTTAGCAATAGAATAATATTTTTCTTTATATATTTATATAGCATATATTTTTATTGCATAACATATCTCACTGTGCAAAAAACATATACATGCACACATTCCTCCTATTATTGTATCTATTCCTCCTATTGCGTAATAAGTATCGTGATAAATGCAATAAGTACACTATTTAAACACAAGCCTGTTATAGTACGTAATATGGCGCGGAGCACGCGAGACATTAAACAGTATATATCACAGATTCGACATAAGTATGATAAGTATGATGTACATTTAATAGACATACGGACATCAAACTTTTATCACGTACAATTATCACGTTTAATTTCATATGGTACAAAACTATAATTGAAAATAAAAATGAATAACATTATTTAATTATTATTTTACTATACATTCTATATTTAATTTTCAACACTTTATATCAATTTTTTATTAAAAAATTTGATTGGTCGAATCGTTCAATGCATGTAGATAATGTAGCTTATATCGCCGCTTTGTCATGTTATCTTGCGTTTGCGATAAACACCCAGAAATTATATTATTATTGCGCAAATCTTAGATATTTTGTACTGCGCTTAGTAACAATTATACTATTAATCAAAGACAGAAAAAATATAAGACAGAAAAAATATAACAAATACGAAATACCATTAACGATTCAACAAAAAACATATGACTGGTCGATGGATCAAAAGCAGATACTGAAACCCATATAATATCGATCAGCTCAAATTTGGATGTTGTGGACTCACCAAACAATCTACGTGTTCTTCCTCGAAGTTAGTCAAAGTTAATTAAAATTCTAAAAACCAAGATAGAAAGAAAGAGAGAAAGAGAGAGAGAGAGAGAGAGAGAGAGAGGGAGAGAAGGAAAGAAAGAATTAGTCGAAGTTCACTTAATCAATCTTTGTAACAACACGATCTATATTTGTTCATAAAAGCGGCATGCGGCATAAAATATATTATTTCACATCGGAAAACACCAGAATTTAGTATATCGATTTCACTTCTCGTACAAAAAAACGCGCGAAGGCCACAAGTAACTGCGGAATAGTAATGAAAGGCGAAGGCGGAAACGAAGGTAGAGCAGCGAGACGACCGACTCACAATGAAGAATGTGAGAGAATCATCCTTCCTGAGGTTTAGTGAACAGATGTTCCAACCAAAATCCTTCCTCTTACGTAGTCACCAAACACAACTAAACACAATAGTAACCTGAGAATTCCTAACACGTGTACGATGATGAATTTACGAAGTGTGACAATTTTATAATTTGATAACTTTTTTCTTCGAGAAGATATGACTTTTCCGCGTCAAACGTCGATACTTGCATGCGTGCGTGCGTACGTGCGTCGTCGTGTCGTTGCGTTACTTGCATACATAGAAACTCCTCTCCGATGACCGAGGACTAATAATAGACAACGAAGCTATGAGCGAACAAGCGAGCGAGCAAACGAAAGAGCGAGTACGTAATACGTATGTGTGTATATATACATGTATATGTATGTATATCTATATGCGACACGCCTGGCTACGTGCACATATTAATGTATTGCTTTGCTGCACTGTACAAAAAGCGGACTGAAATACCCGATGGAACTCATGCCGACAGAAATGCATATCGCATATGATTCTTGAAATTATTTTTGCTGCAATCGGGATTATAAATCACACTTTTCATTATATCTGCATCTATTTGTTCAACGTTAAGCAAAAAATAATGATTAATTTGATGTTATGACGTATTAAAAATTTAAGTCCTGTAATTTATGACATTTTACGTTATATACCACAAAGTTTTATTGTAGATTGTTATGCAAATTGTCACCGGCAAAATCGTTTTAGGAGAAAACATGAAAATGATATTTCATAGATTTACGAAGGACTTGTCCCTTCTGAATCGAAAATATAAAATATATAATTATATATATATATATATAAAATTATATATATATATAATATATATAAAGTTTATATACAGAACAATTTATAAAGTTATATACAATAAAAGTTTTAATAGATATAATGTTTAAATCGTTTATTTAAAAAGTTAATGTCGAGTTAAGATAAAAAAAATTTCGGTGTTAACGTAATACATATAATAATATTTTCATCGCATCTTTATAAATCATTATCTGTACAAATTACTTTATTCAATAACAACTTGATAATCTTTTTATTAATTCGTTTTTATTAATCTTTTTTATTAATAACGGTAATGGTAATTATATCCCTTATTTATATTTCTTATTTTAAATTATTTATGAATAAATAAAATAACAAGCAGAATTTTATATCGAGTCTGTGATATGTACATCTTAACGTAACTACATTTCTTAGGCAACAATAATAAATATAATTTTACTTTTACCATTACTTAGGATATTAAAATATATATCGCAATAAATATTAATTAATTTTGCATTAATTAATATCACAATAAACATTAATAAACAATTAATTGTGATGTTATTACATAAATGTTATAATTTCCTCATTTAATGATGTAACTGATATATACAGCATACGTTATAGTTATGTTAAACTGTTGGACAAGAAAATATAACATTGCTATAAAGTCATTATATTGTTAATTGATGTCTGCTAAGATATATTAAATGAAAATTTACTGTCAATTGGTATTTATTGGTATACATTAAATGAATAATATTATACCCTAAAACAAGGTTTTCAATATTAAATAGAAAAATATAATGAAGATTATAATTATATTTATCGTTATTTTTTAAGTAATAATAATTAATTAGATATTTTCTGAATTAATTACAATAATGGTAACAAATTATTTTTCTTAATGGCTAATGAGTAATGGTAACGAATAATTTTTCAAAAGTAATTTTCCTAAGACTGAATATTATACACACAGATACATATATACATATATGGGGAGAGAGAGATCTTTACATAGATATCTTTATACTTGTTGAATGTCTTTATGTTTGCTTTATTCGACTGCTATACTCATTGTATATATATATATATATATATATATACATATATATATACTCTATATACATATACTCTATATATACATACTCTATATAGATATATATATAGATATATAGATATATAGATAGATAGATAGATATATAGATATATAGATATATATAGAGAGATATATATCTATATATATATATATATACACACATATACTATATATATATATATAGAGTACATATAACAATTCTTTCGGTCTGGTATTTTATATCAGATCTCTGATGTATACATGTTAACGTAATATTTTTACATTAGTTAAAAGTAGGGAGTGTTCTATAAAAATGTAATGAATACAAAATAATTTTTGCTGTTAACAGTTTACTATTTAATAGTGTATTTATATATCGCAACAAATTTTCGAATATGTGATAAAACGTCATCAATCAAATGTATATTATACATACAGAAAGTTTAATTTTAATTATATTCGTAAAAATTAACATAATAACGTTAATTGCCTTACCTTCGTTATTCCGTCTACGCGAGTTGCACGTACCATTATCGTAATATTTGTCATCAACTATTAAATGAAAACGATTCAATAACACACTACTACTTGTAACTCCCTAGTACAAAATATGTAACACTACAATTAATTATTATTTACAGCAGTATTATACTATGAACAATTTCTATGTAATTATAATTCTATGTAATTACAATGTAATAATAATCTATGTAATTATAATAATGTTTCTTTGATATTCGACATCGTTTCTATTATAATAATTATACAATAGAATCTTAATTATCAACAAATATTCTGTTGCAAATAATCATATTATTTTGAAACAAAAGTTTTATCTTATTTTATATTTATTATTTTACTTGCTTTTAACTTTGTATTTAAGATGATATATATTGGAAATTTATTTTATATTAAATCAGTAATTTCTTATCATCTATTCCAATAAAAAAGCTGTTGTTTGACAATTTTTAAGTAACCATGCAATATCGATTTTTAATAATAATTCATTACACATTCGTTTACAATATTAGGAACTGATATCGTGCGGTAACATCAAACTTGAAAGTTTCCTCAAATTTGTTTGCAAAAATGAATTTTTAAAAAAATTCTTGATTTATAAAATCAATTTGTAATTCTTTAGAGATGCTCCAATGCGAATTTACCATCACAACCACAACGTTTGGTATCGATGCTGTCACGCGAGTAACTGAAAAGGATTGGAAATGAGAATGCATCCAAAGATTATATCCACGTAGTAAGTAGCCACACCTGCCACACCGACGAAAGGAATACATATATATTCCGTGTAGAGATCAGTTTGACACTGAAAGCTTGTTTTCATAACTACAAACACTCAGTTGCTTAGTTGCATAGATTCATTATAACTCCTCTTAAATATGTAAGTAACTCTATATATTTCTCTTAATAGTATTCTGAAAATATATTACGTATTAGAAAAAAAGTTACAAATATATCCTAATTTTTCTAATTTAATTCTAATTTAAAAATTTCACTATACATAAAATAAAAAGAAAAACAATCAGGATGTAAGATAAATATAAATATATAATACAAGCCTATAATTAATAACTAAATGTATATACACAGAACTTCACGACAATAACTTAAAAAGTAGGAAATATATACAAGAATATATATAAAATATACAGAGTGAATAAAAAAAATGGGTACTCCTGAATATCTCAAACGGGTTACGTTCTTGAAAGAAATGTTATAAACAAAAGTTGTAGGGTTTCAAGAGGTCTATCTATTAGCCTTATCAGTTTGATCTTGAGTGGCATTGCCAAAGTGAGAAAAGGTTAACATAATTTTTAAATAGAAATTCTCACTTTTTATTATATCATCTTTTTCTACCAATTAATTTGAATAACTTTTGTCTAAAAATTTTCTAATTTGCCTAATATTTTTTGAAATATTTAAGAAAAACTAAGTAACTTTTTTAATATTTAACTTATGATATCTCGCTATTTATCGGAAAAAAGTGGTACTAGTTTTTTTTACTCTATTTGGTCTGAAAAATATATTGTTACAATAGTGTCCTGACTTATGTTAATTTGATAATGTGGAAATTTCCAAAGGTCAATAAGTTAACAAAAGGTAGGGCATTATTGTAACAATATATTCATGAGATCAAATGGAGTAAAAAAGTTTAGTACCATTTTTCTTCCGACAAATAGTTAACGTGATATCGTAAATTAAAAAATTGTTGAAAAATTATCGAAAAAATTAGTTTTACTTAAATATCTAAAAAATATTAAAAATATGAAGAAATGTTTTAGACAAAAGTTGTTAAAATTAATTGGTAGAAATAGATGATATAATAAAAATAGGGTATTTCCATTTTAAAAACTTAAGTCGACCTTGAACTTTTTTTTTTCTTTTTTTTTGACGAGGAGGAAATCCATCATGGATACCTTGACCCTCGGGGAAGGGTCAGGGTTATGCCGGACTCCTACCGGCTAAAACCTCCCCGGGTGACGCTGCGAAGGGACTTGGGTCGGGGCCCCGGTGCCATGTAACTGCAATCGGGGCCCCGAGTCCGGGTGTTGCACCTTCTGTCCCTGAGGGGTGGGGTGGGGGAGGGGGGAAGCCAACCCGAAGGTCCGCTTCAACCACCGCTCCCCCTGGGGAAGGGGGAAGCCGGCCCGAGGGCCCGCTTCGACCACCGTTCCCCTTTCCCACCCGTCACGTCTCGTCTCTTCGGTCAGGAAGGGGGAAGCCGGCCGAAGCCCGCTTCAACCACCGTTCCTGACCAGACGAGCCGCCGCCAATGCATGTTGTATGGCTGACTGACCCACCATATCAGCCAGCCACCTTACGTTGGGAGGGCTGGTTGGGGCACCGGGTGTCCCCGCCCGGTGCCCTACCCTCCCGCCCGGCGGTTACGGGGAGATATACTCCCCTAGCCGCCGGGCTCACCCCACCTCCGCAGAGGAATGGGGTGGGGGATCCTAATGACCCCCCTCCCGCATATCCGACTAAAATGTCGGATCTACGGTCAGGGGGGGAGAGGTGTTTTGTTTTGTTCGATGATAAATCATCATCAACACCTTCTCCCCCCCTTATTCCTATCCGACTCCCTTTTTTTGGGGAGTCGGTGGTTTATGGGTGTGGGGCCTCGGCCTGAGCCGCGCTCCCCACCCGCCTCCATCTCCTGTTGCTGCTGTCATAGAAAGGGCATCAGGGAGTGGCGGTGGCGGTATCACCGCTATCGCTACCGCGAGGGAGGCGGTCAGCAACGCCGCCGCCAAAATCGACCTTGAACTAACCTTAGTAACGTCGCTCAAAGTCAAACTGATAAGGCTAATAGATAGATCTCTTGAAACTCTATTGTTTATAACATTTTGTTTAGAACATTTCTTTCAAAAGTGTAACCTCTCTAAAATATTCAGGGGACCCATCTTTTTTACTCACCCTGTATA